TTTTTTTTTTGAGTTGGAGTCTCACTCTGTCGCCCAGACTGGAGTGCAGTGGCCGCTCCCAGCCACCGCAGCCTCGACCTGCCGGGCTCCAGTGATCCTTCCACCTCAGCCTTCCGAGTAGACGAAATTACAGGCCTGCGCTACCACGCCCGGCTGATTTTTTGATTTACTGTCGAGATGAGGTCTCACTGCCCAGGCGGGTCTTAAACCCGCGGGCTCAGGCAATCCACTCACCTCAGCCTCCCAAAGGTGCGGGATTACAGGCTGAGCCACCGAGCCCGGCTTGTGCTCATTCTTTATATGCATTATCTCACTTAAGCCCCCAGCTACCCCCGTGAAGTAGGCATCATCATGTAATTTGATAGATGAGGAAGCTGAGGCTCAGAATGGTTTGAACCTGCTTGGGGTCGATTAGCAGGCAACAGAACCAGGATCTAGATCTTCCTCCTACAGAAGACATGTTATTTTGATGACTAAAAACAGGATGTTTCCCCTTGTCTGTCTTTCCTATTTGCCCCGCATGGACCCCAGCATCTGTGAGCGGGTCACCCCCAGGCTGTCCCATGCCAATTCTGCTGTGGTGCTCTCTGCTGTGAAGGTGCTGATGAAGTTCATGGAGATGTTGTCTAAGGACCTGGACTATTACGGCACACTGCTCAAGAAGCTGGCCCCACCCCTGGTCACACTCCTGTCGGCAGAACCAGAGCTGCAGTACGTGGCCCTGCGCAACATCAACCTCATTGTGCAGAAAAGGTACTGAGATCACCATATACGCAAGCATGCGGTGTGCACCCCTAAGGGGGCCTCTTCTGCTGGGAACAGGACCTCTCAAGGCAAACTGACCCATCACCGTGCAGGACGTCTCAAAGAATAGCTTAACACAAGGGCTCTCAACCAGGGACAACTTTGCCCCCAGGGGAAGTTTGTCAACGTCTGGAAACATTTTTGGTTTTCATAGCTGTGGGAGTACTACTGGCATCTAGTGGGTAGAGACTAAGGATGCTGGTCAACATCCTGCATTGTACAGAACAGCTTCCCACAGCAAGAAACTGTCTGGCCCAAAATGTCAATAGGTGATATTTTGCTGTGGTTGGGAAGTGCTGGCCTGGCCTAGGCTAACCTAACCTAACCTAACCTAACCAGGAAGCAGCCTAGGTTAAAGCTAGCATGGGGCTTCTTAACATAGCATTGGATGGCTTCTGAAATGGAGTATAAGATTTTATGTGTCTGTGTGTGTGCCTGAGGACAGAGACCATAGCTCTAGTCAAATTCCCCGAGATGGGAGGGCTCCAAGATGGTGAGGAACTTGGATTTTGTATCAGCCCGGAGGAGGGATATATCAGAGTCCCTCTGTGCTGTACTACCCATTTCCCTCCTCCCAGGTGAAGGACTGTAGCAGTAAGTCACTGCTTCCAAAACGGGTCTTGTACCTGGGCTAGGCAGGAGCTGAAAAACACTTGAGCGGTACTGGGACAGGGGTTTTCTGACATAATCCGTTTCTTCTTCTGAAGTAGCTCTAAGTGAGAGAGCCCTTACAGCTCCTGGGAGTGGGATTGGCTTCCTGAGTTCTCCCAGCTCTTTGTCAAATGGCTTACTTGGCAATCAGACTTGGCAGTAGCAACTAACTACTGAGCATCTATAAGTTACAGCAGGCCCCGTTGCTGGGAGTGAAGCTACATGGAGAACAAAGGGCCTCTCTTGGAAGATAGCACACTCTCCATGTCATGGCATCAATCTAGTTCTTATTTCCTTCTGGCGGGACTGAGAGATATCAGTTGCATTGGGACATTTGTGAAGCCTTGGGAGGTAACTGTAGGAAGGCTTTATGAGTGCTTCAACCAAGGGATGAGACCAGGGCTTGCCAGTTAGAGTGTGGGTCTTTACATACCAGTGCCCTGGGTCACAGATTTAATATGGTATAGTGACTACTAGATCCAGATCAGCATGAAGGCTCCCTGTGCTATATTTAACATGGTAAATCTCTTAAGAAGTTGTCCATGTCACCGAGACATGACCTGGTCCTGACATGTGGTTGGGCAGCTTTTGCCAAGTCCTGATTGCAGAAATCATCTTCTGCTACCCATCTCAGAGTCTTGCCTCTCCCACGGGGCACAACAGAGGCTCCTTGCTTGGCCAGGACCTCCCTGCAGCTTGCACAGCAACACTGAGTACCCAATTTCCTCCTTTCTCTGTGCGCTGTCTTCTCCCTTCTTCCCATATGTCCTCATTCCTATTCCTTCCTCCTTTCTGTTCTGGAAAGGGCATAGGAGTAGGAGTCAGGGAGTGGGAACTCTTGTCTTGATCCCATCCTTATTAACATTAACCAGGTGACCTAGTGCAAGCCTCTCAACCTCTCTGAAGTTTTCTTGTGTAAGAAAAATGCAGTGGGTGGTGCCAGTTGAGGGCAGAAGGGTATTGCCTTTGAAGGGAGAGCAATGACACGTGTATAAGTGACAGCTCCTGCCTAGTGAGTGCCTTCTCTGAGGCAGGCATCGATCGTGCTAGATGCTTTGCCTCTAACTCTCACAACAGCCTCTTACATAGGTGTCTGTGTTGGCATCCCTAAGACCATAATCATGTTCAGGTTTCCTAGCAGGACTCACAGGACTCAGCATGTAGTTGTACGAAGAGCTAAAATTTATCAGAGCAACACAGTATGGGTACACAGCTGGATCATAAGGGACAGCTATACAAATAGTCTGGAGGAATCTATGAGAGGCTTCCTTATGTGCTCTCCCTTCCATGGGGAGCCACAAAGAGCTCTCTCCTCCCCCAGCAACAAAATGTGGCAACATGTGTGTAATGTTTCTGCCCAGTGAAGCACTCAAGGTTTTTATTGGAGGCACCTACCAAAATTTAAGACTCCCAAAAGAAAAGCAGGTGTTCATATTCTTTGTACAAATGGTCTAGGCACAACTAGCCACCTTTATTATTTAGGGAACAGTGAGAACACTCCCAGAAGCCGAGTTCCCACATGCCAGGCCTTTCTAAGACCAGCAGACTCAGGCCTGCAATAGTAATGCCTTTCTGCACAGTGCTATTCCTATTTCATGAGTGAGGAAACAGAGACCTGAAGTCACAAGCTAGGATTGGAACTGAGAACTGCCTGATTCCCAAGCCTGTTGCATGGTGCCTACTCCCTCTTGAGTGTGAACTGTCTCTTGCTGTACTCCCTCTTTGCCTGTGATGTGGTCAGGCACACAGTAGCCAGTCAGAACCTTACTCAGGCCAGTCACCTGGCCCTCTGCCTACAAGCTTGCAGCCATGGCAGTTTCTCATAGACATCAGAAATGTCCCAGCAAATGTGGAGGGGTTTTCTCAAGGAGCCTAAGCCTTGCTTTTTTGCTTTCTGGGCATCGTGCCCCGCCACCAGGCCTGAGATCCTGAAGCACGAGATGAAGGTCTTCTTTGTGAAATACAATGACCCTATCTATGTGAAGCTGGAGAAGCTGGACATCATGATCCGCCTGGCCTCCCAGGCCAACATCGCCCAGGTCAGTAAAGGTGGTAGTTGGGGCAGGGGCTTTGGTGTCAGACAGCTCCATCACCACCAAGCTGTGGTCCCAGGGCTGATTGATTGGTCTCACCCTTAACAGTTCATCTCACAAAGACCATTTAGCAGGGGACACAGGGCTTAGTAAGCAAGTAAAAAAACTGATATTTTTGTTACTAAAGAATGTTCTTGGCCAGGCACAGTGGCTCACACCTGCAATTCTAGACTTTGGGAAACTGAGACAGGAGGATTGCTTGAGGCTAGGAGTTCAAAACTAGCCTGGGCAATGTAGCAAAACATCATCTCTACAAATAAATAAATACTTAGCAGGGCATGTAGCATATGCCTGTAGTCCCAGCTTCTTTGGAGTCTGAGACAGAAGAATCACTTGAACCCAGGAGTTTGAGGCTGCAGTGAGCTATAATTGTGCCACTGCATTCCAGCCTGGATGACAGAGCAAGACTCTGGCTCTTAAAAAAGAAAAAAGAAATAGGCCAGGCTCGGTGGCTCAACCTGTAATCCCAGCACTTTGGGAGGCCAAGGTGAGTGGATTGCCTGAGCCCACGGGTTCGAGACCCACCTGGGCAACTTGGTGAGACCTCATCTCTACAATCAATCAAAAATTAGCCGGGCATGGTAGCACGCACCTGTAGTTCCAGCTACTTGGAAGGCTGAGGCGGAAGGATTGCCGGAGCCCAGCAGGTCGAGGCTGCGGTGGCCGGGAGTGGCCATTGCACTCCAGTCTGGGTGACAGAGTGAGACTCCAACTCAAAAAAAAGAAAAAAGAAAAAATTGTTCTCCCTATTATCACCTATCATCCAGCTATTAAGATGTGGTTGTTGGATGTGTAGCTAGATCAACCTAAAACTACAGTTGTCTAACTCTGCTTTCCTTTCTGTGCACCTGATAGCTCTCTTCCTCCCTCGGGCCTTCCACCTCAAGTAGGAGGCAGAATCCTATCCTTCTAGGAGTCTGTGTATATCCACTGCCCAGGGGTGTCCCAAGAGATTGCCCCATCAGATCCCCCCAACCCCATCCTGTCTGTTTGGGCCACAGGTATTGGCAGAGCTAAAAGAGTATGCAACAGAAGTGGATGTGGACTTTGTGCGGAAGGCTGTGCGTGCCATTGGCCGTTGTGCCATTAAGGTGGAGGTAAGGCTCAGGGACTCTGTCCTCAGCTGGGGGAGGGGAAGGAAGCCTAAACCAAGAAACTAGTCTGACTGTAGCACAATCTACCAGCTGCTTGTGACCCGGGAAGCCTGAGGGCCAGTTGTGCAGGTCTTGTTGGGCTCCTTCTCACTCTGCAGTCTCCTTTAGGCCTTTAGTTTGCTGCAGATGAGACCTATCATAATCACGGTTCTCCTGCAGTATTAGCTAAGCTAATGCTGTTAAGCTGAGGGCATCCCTGGTAGACTTAGCTTTCACTTCACGAGCTTTAGGACAGGACCCTGCCTATTGAATGCTTTTTGTCAAGTGTCATGATTCAGCTGCCACGTGTCTCTTTGTACAAACTCCCCAGGGCCACTCCAGACCCCTGTGTCCTGGTATTTCATCCCAGCCTTTCTCTGCCTTTGGAGATATTCTTTGAACATTGACCTGGACTCTCCTTAAATGGGTTCGGTGATGGCTGCAGGATCTGAGGACAGCTAGTTACCTCCAGCTCAGACCTTTGAAGTGTTTTCCCCTTGGGACTATGATGGCTCTCCTGAAAAATCTCCCCCTGCTGACCATTAACATGGTGTATGGAAATAAAGCAGAGCCAAGCAGAAACATTGTGTTTTTGGTCTTGGGAGCCCATTGTATGAAGCAGATAAAAGAGGGGTGGGGTCAGGCTGGAGCACAGTCACTCTGCCCTCAGAGCTTGGCCTGGAGGAGCTCCAAGGACCCTCCTTGCTCTCCTGAGCTCAGCCGCTGGCTTCTTCATGGTCTCCTTCTGTCTCCCTGTGTCCTGCCATCCGATCATTTGGCACTGGTTCTCCCTCTGTTACCTGGGGAGAGTGTTCTTCTGTGACAAGGAAAGTGGGTGAGGAGTGACTTGGAGCCCCTGCCGTGATCATCACAGGCCCTATTGGAAATGGTACAGGGTCCTTGCCCACACTCTCTTCTTCTTCCCACACAGCAATCTGCAGAGCGCTGTGTGAGCACGCTGCTTGATCTCATTCAGACCAAGGTCAACTATGTGGTCCAGGAAGCCATCGTGGTCATTAAGGACATCTTTCGCAAGTACCCCAACAAGTACGTGCCCACAATCCCAGGAAGGGCCTTCTGTCTGTGCTTGGGGATGGGGATGGTGGGGAGGAAAAAAGGAGGACTTTCTCCCCCTTGCTTAATTCTCTGCCACAAGCAGCATTCTCAAAAGAAAAAAAGAAAAACCTTGCCCCTCCTCTGCTCCCCAGGTCAAAATAAGAGCTAAAATGTTACAGATAAAACTCAAATCTTTTACTTACCATGTCTCAGGGTCTTGAGGGGTACTGGCCCATCTCTCTTGACCCCTGGCTATGCTTCCCTGGGTTGCCTGGGTTCTGGTGCTCATGTGTTGGCTGTGCCCTGGCCTCCCAGGTATGAGAGTGTGATCGCCACGCTCTGCGAGAACCTGGACTCCCTGGATGAGCCGGAGGCGCGGGCTGCCATGATCTGGATTGTGGGAGAGTATGCTGAGCGGATTGACAATGCAGACGAGCTGCTAGAGAGCTTCCTTGAGGGTTTCCACGACGAGAGCACCCAGGTGAGCCGTCGAGCAGGCCAACTTGGGCCATGGTGTGAGTCATGACTGCCAACTTGGCCCTGCCGTGACTGTCTTGCTCTGAAACTCTCCCTCCTGATATTGCATTGACAGTGTGGACAGACTGATGCGTGATGCGTAGGTGATGGGCACGGCCCCTTTTCCTCACCCACTGCAGTGCCCTGAGGGGACACGTGAGGCCATCTGTGGTGTTGTGCTTGGAAGGCAGGCGGGAGTTTTTGGTTTTGTTTTAATTTAATGTTTATCTGTAGATAGGGAACCCTTTGACTTGGTTCAAAATGGAGAAGACACAAAAGGATATATAATGAAGTTTTCCTCTTACCACTTTGCTGTCTACTGGTTCTCCTTCCAGAGGTTACCAGTGTTCTTGGTTTCTCGGAGAGACTTCTAGAGGTCATTTAGAAATATACCAGCGATACACACACACAGCTGGAGTGCTGTGGCACACTCACGGCCACCCCAACATTGATCTGCTGGGCTCCGGCGATCCTTCCCCCTCAACCTTCCAAGTAGCCTTAACTACAGGTGGATGCTACCACACCTAGCTAATTTTTGATTGATTGTAGAGATGAGGTCTCACCAAGTTTCCTGGGCTGGTCTTGAATTTACAGACTCAGGCAGTCCACTCACCGTGGCCTCCTAAAGTGCTGGAATTACAGGCTGACCACCGAGCACAGCCCTAAATGAAATTTATTAAGCACATGTCATTCCTCCATAACGTACATCACAGCCTTCTTGTGGTTAGGAAAACTAGGCAAGCACTTCAGCACTATACTCGGGGGCCATTTTAAACAAGTAAGTCACTAACAGAAAGTTCTAAAATGTGAAATACATGACTGTAAATAGATCAGGAAAGAACCATGTTTACAGTGTGAGAGCTGAAACAAGGGCAGAGCATTGTCTTGTTTGACCTCAGCTGAGAATGTGTGTGTCAGGTGACTCAAAGTTTTCACCGCTCTGCACATTATCTGTGAATGACTGTGAAAGCACCACAAGTATTAATTTGGGGGCTACAAGTAAGTTTTAGCAAGTAGGCAGATTCACAGATATGGATTCCATGAACAGTGAGAATCAACTGTAGATATATATTTCTCTCTCGTTTATTTTTAAACACTACTGGTAATATACTATGCAAATTCAGATTGTTCCCCACCTTTCTTTTTGCCCTTACAAATATATCTGAAGGCCATGCTGTAATTAATTTTTGCTTTACCAGCCTCCCCTGATGGATATTTAGGTGTCCAGTTTTATACTCTCTTAAGCAGTACTGCTATGAATATCCTGTGTGATGCACATCTGCAAGTACATCTGGAGGTTAAATTCTTAGAAGGTGAATGCTTAGATAAAAGGGCGTGTGCATTTGAGATTTGAGTAGCTGTCACCAGATTTCCTTTGGTGTAAAGACTGTGCTGGTTTATATTCCCATCTCTTGCCCTTTCCTTACCTCCTCACCAGCTTAGTGCATCCTCATGCTTTGTTTTTGCCAGTCTGATAGATTACAGAGGGTACCCCAGTATCGTTTTGTTTGCATTTCTGTTGTGAGGTTGAACATCTTGTCATTTGTGTTCTCTTTTCTCTGAACTGAGAACTGTCAGTCTGTTTGTGAGCACAGAACTCTTAGCTGCCCAACTGGGGCAGTATAACCCCATGGGTCCAAGTATAGGCCTTGGAATGGAAGAACCCAGAGTCCATAACCCTCTTCTGCACTTTACTGGCTTAATGACTTTATGCTTATTCCTTTACCTCTCTGTGCCTCAGCTTCTTCATTTGTAAGATTCAAATCATTAGGCTTTCCTTCATCCTGTTGCTGTGAAAGTTAAATGGAATGCTTTCTATAACGTCCTGAATACATGTCTAGGCCATACTATAAGCATTCATTCTTGGGACTATTGGTTTGGGTCCAGCTTGGTTTCAAAAGCAAATTAGTGCAGGCCAAAAAGGGGACTGACTGGTTCTGGTAGCTAGCAAGTCCAGACACATGCTTCCCTCCAGCATTCCTGGCTGAGGGTGCTTGGATGGTGGCATTGGACTGTCTTTGCAACTCTGGGGTGGCTTCCACCTTGGGTAGGCTCCCAAGAGTGGGGACTCCAAGGGGCCAGCAGTTCCAGGCTGCAGTTTAATGACTCCTATGCAAAGAAAAATTTTCCCCTCAGTAGTTCCAGCAAAAGTCCCAGGACCTATTTGTATTATCCTTAGCCAGTCACTATAACTCTAATTAGCTAGGTCTCTCAGGCACCAATCCCAGTCTGTGTGAACTGAAAGGGACAGAGAGAAGGGCGAGGCTCTGAAGGAAAGCCAGCATTTCTGTTCCCAGAAGACAGAATAGATGCTGGGTGAGCAAAACAACAGATGTCTTTCACAAAATCATAGTAATAATTCCCACCAGCACCCCCACCCACTGCCACCTGCCTCCAGGCTGCCTTCACTTTCAGCACCACCTCTTCTCTCTTGTCTCTGAGGAGCAGCGCCTGGCCTGTGCTGGTTTCTGCCCCTGCAGTCCAGTCCTGCCTGGAATTCCTGCAGAGGGTATCCTATAAGGGTGTATCTGCCCATATGCTAGAGTCAGTCTCTTACACACCTACACACTCTTCCCCTTCAGTTAAGCCTGTTAGAGAGCCAGGATGAGGGGAGCCAGACAGGGAGAGCTGAACCAGGAGCTTGTGTTGTGAGAAGAGGGGCTCTGAAGTTTTGAATCCAGGCCCCTCCCCTGTTGTGTGACCTGGAGCATATTGCTTAAACTCACGAAACCTGTTTCCTTATTCCAGTACAGGGTTGTTGCAAAGACTGTTGAATGCTGTGTGTAAAGTGCCCACTCCAGTGCTCAGTAAGTGATAGCTGAGTGGTGAGTGATGGTGTAATTAAGTGACCTGCTCTCTTTGTCTTGGGCTCACAACACAGATCAAAGCTCTTTTATTTTTTTGAGTCAAAATCTCACTCTATTGCCCAGGCTGGAGTGCAGTGGCATACTCACAGCCACTGAGCCTTGTCCTACTGGGCTCAGGCGATCTTTCTACCTCAGCCTTCCAAGTAGCTGGAACTACGGTGCGCACCCCCCATGACTGGCTAATTTTTTGATTTATTGTAGAGATGAGGTCTTGCCATGTTGCCCTGGCTGCTGCAGGCTCAGGCAGTCCTCTCACCTTGGCCTCCCAAAGTGCTGGCATTACAGGCATGAGCCACCGCGCCCAGCCTTCAAAACTGTTTTAAGAGTACTTGTTCTGCCAGGCATGATGGCTCATGTCTGTAATCCCAGCACTTTGGAAGGCAGAGACCGGAAGATCGCTTGAGCCCAGGAGTTCAAGACCAGCCTGGGCAACATAGCAAGACCTTGTCTCTATTAATATTTTGAAAAAGAAAAAAAGTTTCTCCATAAGACCTTGTGGGGGGGAAAAAAGATTACTTGTTCAGTGCTGGACAATCTTGGAACTTGTTTTAGATTGGTTCCTAGACCTCTCTAGTCACGGACAGGAAGCTCAGAAAGTCTTGGCAAGGTGGAGCATTGGCCAAGCCTGTGTTTTGCCCCTTTCCTTCCATCCCATCCTGTCTGGATGGCAGGGGCAGGAGCAGCATTGCAGGAGGGCTGCCCTGAAAGGACATGTTGTGAGGAACTGGGTGGCTTGCTGAGCCCCGACCCTGGGCTGGTAGCCATTGTACCCTCTGGCAGTAGAGCCCGAGGCATACCTTACTGGGAAGCACAACAGATCTGACAATGATGAACAGCTCCAGGCATCTGGCTGACTGGGCGGGGAACTTTCCCATGTGAGGGTAATGGTGACAGTGACTGCAGTGAAGACAGCTGTTGTGTAGTGAGCAGAATACACAATAGCTTCTTATATTGGTTGTCTCATTGACACTTCCCATGAAACATGAGGTACTATATCTATTTTATAGGTGAGGAAACCGACTCAAAAGTTAAATAACTTGTCTGGGGTCACCCAGCTGGGAAGTGATAGAACCACAGTTAAAATGAGATGTGCTCTGACTCTAGGAGCTGCCATAAGTTGCCATTTTTAAAGGTCTCAAGAACCCCCCGAAGTAGGCCACACCTTTCTTTCACAGGCTGGAGCTAAATGGCTTATCATAGGCTGCCTAGCCAGGGACTGGAGCTGGATCTGCAGGAAACAGCCAGCCCACTGCTCCTCTGCCCTTGGCCTACATGTAACCAAATTGCAAGGACTCTGGATTGCGTAATCCCAGAAAGAAACCACATCTCCTCCATTCTGCCTCTGCTGTCAGCCAGCACTGCTGCTGCTGAGCTTCTACTGCAACCACCCTCCTGCTGCCGACCTGTCCCTGGCATAGCCTGTGGGCTCCTGGCACTACCCTGGCTCCAGAGCCTCAGGCTGCCCTCTAGTCCTAGGACTAGCAAAGATGAGCTGGTGGCCAAGGAAGGACTATGTGTAGAGACTTGTTCTTGAAGAGATGTTTTTGAGTCAGCAGGTATTCCTTAAGTGCCTACTACGAAATAGGCACTAGATGGAGCTGTAACCAGCAACACAGCTGTGAGAGGACAGACACTCCCCCGCCAGATCACTTAATTATACCACCACCACTACAGGACAGCCAGCAACTATTGGCGCCAATGAGGGGTGAAGGAGGCTACAGAAGTGTCGGGGACTGGCAGTGGGGACAGCATGAGAGCTGCAGGGTGAGGAGGTATTGGCCAGGCTGAGGGAAGTAGGAGGCATGTCCCGGTGCACAGCAGGCACTGGCAGAAGGCCTCCAGGAATTGTTCCCATGCTCTGGTAGAAGCACAGCTTCTTGATAACAGTCTGTTACTATGTTCCCAAGGCCTCGGTGGCACTGCCACCACTTATGGACGGAGGCCTTTTAAAAAGCATAACAGCCACACCTGTGAGCTTCTCATGGTGCTGTGGGGCCTAGAACTCCGATAGGTTTCTAGAAGCCTAGGGAAGCCTAGCCTGGAAGTCCCAGCCTGCCTGGGCTTGCCACGTAGTACAGCTCAGCTCCTGAGTGAGTCGTGTTGAGGTCAGCACCAACACCCCTTGCCGGCCTTAGCCTGTGTGCCATGGCCAACCCCAAATCTAGAAGATCTGTCCTTGGCTTCCCAGGACTTTGAACACCTTTTTCCTCTTCAGGCCCTCATTTGGTTGTCCACTGTCCCCAAGTGGAGCCCACACTTCTTCCTTATCATCATCTCTCTGACTCCCTGCAGGTCCAGCTACAGTTACTGACAGCCATCGTGAAACTCTTTCTGAAGAAGCCAACAGAGACCCAGGAGCTGGTGCAGCAAGTCCTCAGTTTGGCTACGCAGGTGGGTGCCCCAGCCTCCTCTCTCTGCCCAGCAGAGGAGCTTTGGCCCCAGAGCCAATCATGCCCCTAAGATTGGCATCTTTGGGGGTTTGGCCCCAGACTAATCCATGCTCCTTGCCTTAGAGAACTCAGAGTCACAAATGAATCAAAATGGAGTGGGGCCAAGTGGTGAAGTTGAGACAAATTGTAGGTGAGAGAGGAGGAGGGTCTGTGGGGACCAGAGGGTTTGCATGGGGGCAGGGAGGGTACATAGGGATTGGTGACAAAAGCTGGCATGACCTGCCTAAGCCAGGCTAGAGTAGAACACCATGAGGAATGAGCCCAGGAGCTGTGGCACGTCTCTTGGAGTATTTTAGGGACAGGTTCATGAGTGTGCTGAGGATTGCTGTCATCAGCCAGCCTGTGACCACACACCTGGGTCACGGGGCTGTGGGAAGGTCTCCTTCCTTGCCCTTACCAGTTGCTCTGCTCTGACCTTCATGGACTTCTTCGCCTCCCCCCACAAGGACTCAGATAACCCGGACCTGCGCGACCGTGGCTACATCTACTGGCGCCTGCTCTCCACAGACCCAGTGGCAGCCAAAGAAGTGGTGTTGGCTGAGAAGCCACTCATCTCGGAAGAGACGGACCTCATTGAGCCCACGTTGCTGGACGAGCTTATCTGCTACATTGGCACACTGGCCTCCGTCTACCATAAGCCACCCAGTGCCTTTGTGGAGGGGGGCCGAGGCGTTGTGCACAAGAGCCTGCCACCCCGCACTGCCTCGTGAGTGAAATCCGCCAGTTCCTTGGTTTAGCAAACCTCAGGCCTGGTGTGCTGTCCCCTGGCAAGGCCTGAGTCTGAGGAAAACTATGATTCTAGCAATCTTTGAGTGAATGCTTACTACACACAAGGTGTTCACTGGATGACTCCCTTGATCCTTGTAACATCTCTGGGAGAAAATGCTCCCATTTGACAGGTCGAAACAGTAGGCATGAGAATATGAGTGACTGGTTCAGGATTCAACAACTAGCAGAGCTGGGGCTCAGACCCCATTCTGTCTCATTCCAGAGCCTTGTCCTTACCCCCTCCTCCACTCAGGTAGTTGGTTTGGCCTGGTGGCATAGTTCTCCAGGCACTGATATCCAGCTTTCTTTTTAGCATGGGCCAAGGGATGGAAACACCGACTGCCCTCTCCTTTCACTGATTCCCATGAAGAGCCTAAATGGTGGATCAGACAGGGGAATGGGGGAGCAGTGAGGTCGTGTAGATAAACCCTTCTGGGACAGCAAGGACACCCAGCGTCTATCTGGAGGGAGGGTCCTGGAGTCTGGGGTCTCTTTGACCTCCCTGAGACATCCCAGCACCCCCACCCTACTGACCCCTTCCCTTCCGTGGCCTAGCAGGAGTGAGAGCACCGAGAGCCCTGAGACAGCCCCTGCTGGAGCACCCCCTGGTGAGCAGCCAGATGTCATCCCCGCCCAGGGTGACCTGCTGGGTGACCTCCTCAACCTGGACCTCGGCCCCCCAGTGAGTGGCCCACCCCTGGCCACCTCCTCAGTGCAAATGGGAGCTGTGGACCTTCTTGGCGGTGGCCTTGACAGCCTGGTATGTCCTGGGCCTCCCTCTGGATGATGTTGATAATGGTCTTCAGAGGCGGAATCATTGAACGCCCCATCTATGCCAGGCACCAGCCAAGTGCCTTGGGTATATTATATTGAGTCCTAACTCTCTGCCTTCAAAGGTGATTCTGTAGTTCCTACATATAGATGAGAAAACCAAGGCTTGGAGAGATCGGGCAACCTTCCCTCCAAAATAGCACAGCTACTAAGTGGCAGAGACAGGATTCAACCCCCTGGTTGGACCTTTGACTCCCAGGAGATCTGGGGCAGTGGCGGGCCACTTCTAGCCCTTGCCTCTGATTTGACTCCACAGTCAGTTTTGCCCTATAAGGCTGGAATGTTCCTGGCTTTGAAGAACCAGCGTGTGTTCACTTACCCTCATGCCACCCCAGCTGGGAACAGCAGTCTAGCCAAGCCTATCTGGGCCTGGCCCCTGCGAGGTCAGGGAGTGAACTTCCCTCCTCCCCTGTAGAGAGAGAGGGGTCCAGTCCTCTCTGAGGCCCTGCACAGCCTCTTAGCAATTCCCTCAGAGAGAGCAGCAGTTGACTAATCTTTTCCCTCTCTCCCTTTCTCTCTCTTATCTCTCTATCTTCTTTCCTGGCTTACTCTCTGCATGTCGCTGCCTGTTCTCTTCACCCTGCCTGCTTCTGCTTGGAGATGGGGGATGAGCCTGAAGGGGTATGATTCAATTCTTGTGTCACCAAGCCTTCATCCCTGCTCCTCCCTAGAGTGCTGACCCAGCATCTCAAGGGGTGAATGATGTCAGAGCTGTCCTTCCCTGCTGAGCCCTGGCCTTTGTTCCAGTGCCCTGGCAGCCTCTGCTTTGTCCACCTGGCATCCAGCTGCCACTAGACCCCATATCTATGAATTCTTCACCTTGTCCTGATACATTGCCTTGTCCTGAGGATTGCAGCGCTCTCAGTCCCTAGGGTCCCCTCTCTGATGTCCTAGAGGGAAATCACCCATCTGCTTAACATGTCCCCACCTAGCAGTTTGTCTGGGGTCCCCACTTTATTCATGGGCTGAGAGTTTTGGAGAGTCTTCAGCCCTTTCCCAGAGGTCCCTCACTAAGGCTCAAGGCTTGCAGGGCACAGGAGGGCTCAGCCCCTCTTCTCTATCCACCTCACTCTGTTTCCGCAATGTAGAGTTGATGTGAAGGCTGTCCTGTCCCTGCCCCTCATTGTTTTCTAAATTGCCAGGTAGGATGTCCCTGCCTCTGATGCCTGCCTCTGACTCTCCTTCCTTTCCAGATTGGGGGCACCAACTTCGTTGCACCCCCAGCAGTAGCAGTAGCAGCCAACCTAGGAGCACCCATCGGCAGTGGCCTGAGTGACCTGTTTGACCTGACCAGTGGCGTGGGCACCCTATCAGGATCGTATGTGGCCCCCAAAGCAGTAAGTCTCTCAACTTCTGTCTCTGTAGGAACAGAGAGAAGTTATCGAGACTGACTTGTAGATTCCTTAAATGACCTGGGCTGGCTGGGCGCAGTGGCTCACGCCTGTAATCCCAGCACTTTGGGAGGCTGAGACGAGATGATTCCCTGAGCTCACAGGTTCAAGACCAACCTGTGCAACATGGCGAGACCTCGTCTCTACAACAAATCAAAAAATTAGCTGGGCATAGTGGCACATGCCTGTAGTTCCAGCTATTTGGAAGGCTGAGGTGGAAGGATTGCCTAAGCCCAGCAGGTTGAGGCTGCAGTGGCCATGAGTGTGCCACTGCACTCCAACCTGGGTGATAGAGTGAGACTTCGACTCAAAAAAAAAAAGATGACCTGGACTGTGGAATTGGCTCAGGCCAATGCTGATGAGGGAGGCTGGGGGCCATGGTAGCACTAAGGAAGAGGAGCTGAGTGAGGCTTGACAGAGGCCTGGGAAGGCTTCCTGGAGGAGAGGTCGCAGGAGTTCAGACCTGCATAACAAGTCAGAATTAGCTGAGCAAAAATGGGGCAGGGCTCTAGGCCAAGGGAACAGCCTGTGGCAGGGCCTGCAGGGGAGGGAGAGCCCAGCCTCTGTCACACTTATCTCGTAGGAGCAGTGGTTCTCAGTGCCGTCAGATCCAGCACCTCTTAGTCATAATAGACATTTCACAGTGTCACTGTTCTTTCCTTAAATGAAATTGGTGGACTATGTAACCTACCTACACATATAATTCCAAAAATACTCAGATGCTTTCACTCCATAAAGGAGACATAAAAGGAAGAGAATACAAGTATGTGTTTCAATGCTGTGAACACTTGGCACACCCGCCCACATGCCCCAGAAGACATGATGAAGTTATTGTGTTTGCAGTAGGTCAGAGTCACCTGTTTGTATTTCGGGCACCATGAGTGGTATGACCAATGGTACCCTAGTTTCTGAAGTGGTAACTAACTCCAAGTAAAGTTCTGGAGAAGACAGAGAACTGACTTCCTTTGATTTTCATAGTAGTTCCATTCCTGGAAATGTTAGAGTATGTTGAAGCCATGCAAAAAATACTCCAAGGATGCAGGATAGTTGCTCATTAAGGGGATCATTGTTCCTGTGGCAGAATGTTTAGCATTCCTGACTCTAGCCCACTAAATGTAGTACCCCCATTGTGCCAACTGAAGATGCTGCACAGATGCCCGCTTGCTACGAGGGCAGCACCACCCCTTGAGACTCCTGGCTAGAACAGAGATTGGCGATGGAGGAAGCTGGTAGGGTCGGCAGGGCCAGACTGGGCATTTGCTCTTGATCCTGGTGCAGCAGGAGCCATTGAAAGGTTTTAAACAGAGTGATCAAACAGTCCACTTTGGGAGGCTGAGGTGAGTGAATTGCCTGAGCCCGTGGGTTCGAGACCCACCTGGGCAGCGAGACCTCATCTCTACAATAAATCAAGAAATCAGCCAGGTGTGGTAGCGCATGCCTGTAATTCCAGCTACTTGGAAGGCTGAGGCGGAAGGATCGCCGGAGCCCAGCAGGTCGAGGCTGCGGTGGCCGGGAGCAGCCACTGCACTCCAGTCTGGGCAACAGAGTGAGACTCCAACTCAAAAAAACAAACAAACAGTCCAAATTGCACTTGAAGATGGCTCTGGCTGTAGGGAAGGGGTGGGGCAGAAGCTCAGGAGGATTCTGTGGCAAGGATGGATGGATGCTACAGTGCCCTGGACAAGGAGAGCATCTGTGGAAGGCACACAGGCTGGACTTGAGCTCCCTGGGAAGTAGAGAGGACAGGATATAGGGGCTGAGGCAGGAAAGCTGAGTTTGGGGTGTGACACTAAGACCTGACACTAAGGAGAGCGCAGTGTGGGGCTGCTAGAGGGAGCAGACCTGGCTTGATTCCCTCACAACACTCAGGTCAGAAGCCGTGTCTGCCAGAGCCTCTCTCTTTTCTGAAGTCCCCTCCCCAGAGCAGGGTGCAACTGGGCTTCAGGGGCACGGTGACATCTCCATCATGACTAGGGAGCCATGAGCCAGACCTGTCCTTCCCCAGCCTGGCCTCTCCGACAGAGTGCCCACTACACCTGTGGTAATGATGGCTGGAGCCCCTTGCAGGGTCTGGGTCCTGAGAAGCCCACAGCAGAGAGCAGCTCTTACCCTAGCAGCTGCACACTTGGGTGCAGGGACAGCACAGCATTCCCCGGCCTCCAACCACTGAATGCTCCTTCCAACAGCCTTATGTTGCTCTTATTCCTATTTTGTGATTGAGAAGTCTGAGTGTTTTTGTCTGAGGTCATGTAGCTGGCAAGTGACAGGGTCTGAAACGAGCAGTGGCACCAAAGCCTCTGCTCCTGACCCCTATGTGATTATGGTCCCAAAGGGTTTGAGAACATCCACTTCATGGGGCAGGTTGGCAGGATCAGCAGGACTAAAGAGAACATTGGATATGTGGTGTGTTGTACAACATGTTCAGCTGATGAATTACTACACGGATTGGCTGTGCCAAGGCATGAGACCAACCTATACCCATTGAAAGCCCAGTATCACAGGCGTAAGGTGAGACTGAGTGACAGAAGAACACCAAAGACTCCTGTAACCCCGTGGGTGCCAGCCCTTTCCAGACACCGCAGAGCTACCAGGAACATAAAGCCTGGAAGTGGCCCTTGGCAAACTGACCCTCTGCTTGTGTGTTTGTTTTAATAGGCATTGTCGTTGCTTTTTCTTAGTGGAGGGCCACATGAGTGTACTGACAGTGAGTACTGGAAAAAAGATTAGGAGTAATCAGGGCAGGCAGCCTGGGGAGGAGTCCCTGTGACATGGACAGGACTTTCCCCATTACCTTAATTACAGGAGAGTTCTTGGATGTGGGTGCAGTCACCCTTCAGAATCAGTACATGGCTTGTCTATATTTTTCTAACAGTGCTGTGGCTACCTAGACTTGTTTGTCCCTTGGGCATTTCCCCACCCCCACCTTTGGGGGTAAATACATCCTCCAACCTCCTGGCCAAGAGGGATGAGGCTCTCTGTGTACTAGAACTTTGAGTTCCTCAGGCATGTGGATCAGTGGTGGCGACAGTTCACTGATTCATCTAGTAGATACAAAGATTGGTTCTGTTATAACCTGTGCTAGACTCCATGCATCTGCAGTGACCACAAGCAACAGAGTCTCTATCCTCAGCCATGGCTACTGAGTGGGCAACTGAGAAAGGGCTAGATGAGAGGGCAGAGCTCAGGGAAGCCATTTGTGAGGGAGCTGAGCCCAAGGCCAGGTTCAGTAGCCCTCTGAGTGCTTTCCATATGCCAAGTCACAACTGAGAACTAAAGCCAGGTGATTTCTGCCCTCAGATTTGTTTGTGGGTTACAGGGTGCACAAAGGGTGCTGAGGGTTAGCCAAGCAAATTAGGTGTGGGGAAGCACTTTCCAAGCAGAGGAAACAGCGAATGTGAGGTCCCAGGGATGGGGCAAGCCCAGCCTGGGACAGGGTGGGCAGTAGGCTGTTGATGCCAGGGCCCATGGAGGCTGTTGCAGGACTGGAAGGGTTTTCAGGGTTCCATGGTCAGATTTGCATTTCACAGGATGACTTGAGCTGCTGTGGAAAGGGTGAGAGAAGAAATGGGGCAGATACCTGGGCAGCTGCTGTCTTACCTGAGGAAGTCTGGTGGCAGCTCAGGTGCCAGTGGACCCTGAGGAGAGCAGTGGAGGCCCTGAAGGCAGATGTAGGAGGTGGCCTCAACAGGACTTGGGCTGCGACATGGGGGAAGGGTGGGGCGAGGGCTGGTGTCTGAGTGCTCTGCAGTTTCTGTCACTGGCAACTTGAGACACAGTGGAACCTTCATCGACCCCGGGTGCATTTGAGAAAGCTGTCCAGCAGGACCTGCGCCTTGCCTGAGATGTGCATGTCCTCAGGTGGACACCAGTGGGTGTCCTTCATGGCAGGACTGTCCTTCATGGCAGGGCTGTTACTCGGGCTGTTTGCTCAGCAAATACTCCCTGAATCCTGGTTGCACACCAGGCTCTGAACCAAGGATGTGAAGACAGAGACACAGAATGCTTTTCTCAGAGAGCTCACTGGGTACAGGTTCATGTTTATCTGCCATAATGTCATCAGGGTGTAATGGGGAAGCACCTTGGGGACAGGCTTCCTGGAGACGGTGGCTCCAGAGTTGAGACTTGAATGACAAGGGCAGCCAAGTGGCAGGTGGCCTACCAGACAAGGAGTCCTCTTAGGTACTGTCCTTGGTCAGACCAGGTTCTACAATGAAAGGCCAACCCTGCCTCCTGCAAGAGAGGACAGACTGTGACAGGTTCTGGCTGGGATCCAGGATGCTATTGGGCACCCAGCTCTGTCCTTGGCTCATGGCCTTTCTCAGGCCTGCTTCCAGGTGTTCCCTTCACTGACCTCTGAAGACTCACATCAGCCCTTGAGTGCACCGAGCACCACCTCCCCATCCCCAGCTGCATCATTAAGCAGCCACCTCACAGGTTTGTGCCCCTCATCCCGATGTACATCTGGTCATCTCCTAGTGGTAAAAGTGGGTGTGGTCTGCTGGTGGTTTGTTGAGTCGGGGTTAGGGGGAGGCAACCACCTGCCACACCCCCCCCACCCTGTTTTCTGCAGGTCTGGCTCCCAGCCATGAAGGCCAAGGGACTAGAGATCTCGGGCACCTTCACCCGCCAGGTGGGCTCCATCTCCATGGACCTGCAGCTGACCAACAAGGCCCTGCAGGTCATGACCGACTTTGCCATCCAGTTCAACCGCAATAGGTGAGCTCCCTGAGGCCAGCATGCTGCTGACTGCTGCCCGGGGGTCTGGAACGCCTTTTCTGGAGCAGGGGCTGGACCTCAACACCCTTAGGCCAAAACTCTGAAGTGGTGGAGATTTACCCCCCAGTGACCACTTTATGTGGACTCCAGAGTACCTGGCAGAGTGAGAGTACCTGGCAGAGTGAGGAGGACATCTCCCCACGTTTTTTATTTATTTAATTTATTTTGAGACAGGGACTCACTCTGTTTCCCATGCTGAAATGCAGTGGTACAGTTATGGCTCACTGCAGCCTCAATCTGGGCTCAAGAAATCCTGCCTTGGCCTCCTGAATTGCTGGGACTACACGCACATGCAACCTGCCCACACCTGACTATTTCTAAAAAATTTCTGTAGAGACAAGGTCTCACTATCCAGCCCAGGCTGGTGTCAAACTCCTGGGCTCAAGTGACCCTCCTGGCTCAGCCTCCCAAGTAGCTAGGAGTACAGGCATGCGCCACTGTGCCCAGCTCCCCTTGTTTTTGCCTCCACTGTCCAAAGGAGTATATTATAGACAGAAATTCCCTGCTCCAGCCTAGAAGCTTGCCTTTGGCAAGCATCTACATATCAGGAGGGGCCTATCTAAGAAAGCTAGTAGAAGTAGGCCTGTCCGCCAGCCTCCCTGTGTGGCAAAGGAATAAACTGTTAACTGGGGCCTCTGGAAACGGTGGCTGCTCCAGACCCCTCACCCATACCAATGTCAGTGGGGAAGGTCACCTCTGTGACACTTGTGGATCAGGCCAGCTTGCAGGGTTCCCTGGGGACCCCCAGCAGCCCCTCCTGATGATTCTTCTTCCTGAGCGCTCTAATGATGAGCAAACTGAGCCTCTAAGAAGTTGACTGAAGGGGCTGCCTCCTCAGGGGAACCTGTGGGCCAGTGAGTCCCAACCTTTAGGCAGTCCCGACCTTTAGGGGCTGGTGGCAGCTCTGCCACTTACCCTCTGAGGACCCTAGGAGCCACAGAACCTCTCCAGGCTGCTAGGGATGGTTCTGGTGATTGCTGATAGCAAACTCACTATGTGTTGAACATTTCCTGAGAGCTAGGCCCTGTCTCAAGGGCTTTAGTTTTATCTCTCTTGACCCATCTGACAGCCCAGTAAGTCAATGCCATGACCCTCTTTTAGTAGGTAATGACATCTGGACTCAGAGAGGGCAAGTGCCTTGCTCAGGGTCACATAGTAGGCAATAGTAAAGCCTGGAGTGCTGAGCACCAAGCAGGCCTGGGGTTTCCACATGTCTTCCACCACGTCCCAAGTAGGCCTGATTGGCCTCATGGAAAGAGATGTTCTTTCCTGAGGTTGGGGCCAGGCAGCTCAAGCTCTGTTCTCAGCTGTGTCACTCACCCTGTTGGGTCTGGGCACAGGCCTACCGCACCACTACCCCCAAGACTGTGTGTCCTCACCTGGAGTATAGGAAAGTGTGTACCTGTCTCTTTTTATGAGGCTAGGCGCCAATATAATATATGCCCAGCCCAGGCATATTGAGTGAGCATCCAGATCATGGTCCGAATCCCATGCTCTTGTGACTTATCTTCCAAGAGCCTGCTATCTCACACTGACAGGGATCTTTCTAATTTGCCAACATGCTGCTTTATAGAGAAGCAGGGTTCTCCTGAATCTCTTTTTGGCTATCGCGTGGTCAGTTCTGGCCCAGACAATAAAACCTGGCATGTCACTTAGAATGGTCAGATCTCTCCCGAGTGATGGAGATCAGCAGCAGAGACTTGGGAAGTCCCAGCACTTTCAAGTTAGAAGACGCTTACAGTACAGGCTCCTAGTGTTAGCTGGGGCTTCTTGAGGGCAGGACAGGGCAAGACCTGTTGACCCTGGCCAGCCCAGGGCTCTCCCTTCTGTCCACAAAGCCATTGGGGCAGGGGGCTGGGAGCCTGTCCTCTGTCCTGGGCCCAGAATGTGGGTAGGCTGGCCTGCTGGAGAATTGCCATCTTGTGCCCCAGTCCCAGAGCACGAGGGGCCCGCCTGTCCTGCACAGCATCTGCTCCCCAAGCCACCCCCATGGGGCCTCTCTCTCCCCAGCTTTGGCCTGGCCCCCGCCGCCCCCCTCCAGGTCCACGCACCACTCAGCCCCAACCAGACTGTGGAGATCTCCCTGCCTCTCAACACGGTGGGCTCGGTCATGAAAATGGAGCCTCTGAACAATCTCCAGGTGAGTTCTGGGCAGGGCCCAGCATCCTGGTCCTTACCCGCCTGCCAGGCCCAGGGGAGGGGCCAGCTGGAGAGGCCTGGTGCCAGTTGGGGTTGGCATAGGGCCACATCTGTGGAGTCATGCTCTTGGCCACAGATGTGTCAGGGGAGGCTCAGGTCAGAAAGGTGAAGGGGTGTGGTTATCAGGGAGGGTCATGTGAGAGAACGTGCTCAAGGATGCCCTTCCTAGGGCCTCAGGTGGTGTCAGGCCCCAGGGATTGACTGGAGACCCCCTTGTGTGTGCCTAGGTGGCTGTGAAGAACAATATTGATGTCTTCTACTTCAGTACCTTGTACCCACTGCACATCCTCTTTGTGGAGGATGGGAAGATGGGTAAGTCTTGAGGGAGCCCCTGGGGTGTCTGAAATGGAACTGTGACTCGGGAACCTGGTCAGGGTGGTACCTTACCAAGGACCTGAGGGATTTCTCTGTCCCCACAATGAAGTCCAGGGTCTCTGCTCCTCTGTAGAGCCTGAACAAGGGGCACAGCTGGGGCCTCCAGAGCCATGCGTGGCCAACTCTAGCCTGGCAGGTGGGCTGTGCCACTCAGAAGTTGACTCACAGCCTTATCCCACCACACCACAGACTGCAGGGAACCCAGGTCATGCCACATGCCTGGTGCTCATCTCTGTACCCTGGCCCGAACCCTGAGAAGGCTGCCAGTCGCAGTATGCAGACAGCCCCTGCCCTGCCCGGCTGTGTGGAGCTCTTGACCCACGTGGTCTCACCACAGAAGCCCTGGGAGGCGGACTGTGACTAATGAGCAGCCGGCTCAGGGCCAGGGGAGGAGGAAGGAGTGTGTGGGGTGGGGAGGAGAGATCTGAGACCTGGAGGTGGGAAGCCCTAAGTCATTTGGGAACAGCACTGGGACCTCCATCACAGAGCCAAGGCTGAACTCCGAGAAGTAGGAGGGGCTGTGGGGAGCTAATGCCTGCCCTCCGCTCTTAGGTGTGCATTGAAGCGCACACTCATTTCCTGCCAAGTGGTGCTGAGGGGCCACAGGTTGACCAGTGTCCCATCTCTCACCCCCACCCCACTCACCCTACAGACCGGCAGATGTTCCTGGCCACGTGGAAAGATATTCCCAATGAGAATGAAACCCAGTTCCAGATCAGAGACTGCCCCCTCAATGCGGGTGAGGACTCCTGGGCCCCCAACCCCAGCCCCTAGGTCCGCACCACCTCCTGCCTGTCGCTGAGTTCCCCAGCACTGACTATGGAGCCTTCCCTTGGCTGTCTGACCCCGCAGAAGCTGTGAGCAGCAAGCTGCAGAGCAGCAACATCTTCACCATTGCCAAGAGGAATGTGGAGGGCCAGGACATGCTCTACCAGTCCCTGAAACTGACCAACGGCATCTGGGTGCTGGCAGAGCTGCGGATCCAGCCAGGCAACCCCAACTTCACGGTGAGGGCCCCTGCACCAGCCCTGGATCCTCCACCATCCTGTCCTGCGCAGCCTCCTAGGGGTGGCTCTGGTAGAAGACATGCCCGGAGTCTCGTTGAGCCTGGCATGAACCAGAACCAGTTTTGTCCTTGGAAGGGACCATTCTAGAAAAATTCCAACAAAACCCTATCAAGTTACCCAGATAAGATACCAAATTGGGTCTCAGAACAATGAGTTGGACTAGAAGAGTCTATAAAATTGAGCCCTGAGGGCCCCCTGACTGGGAGTGGCATTGCTGGGCACAGGCCTGGCCCTGCTCCCCTGTGGGTGCCTGAGTACCCAACTGAGAGAACCCTAGTTCCCAGCAGCCCATGCTTCCAGGCCGCTGAGCCAGACCCCCGTCAGGAGGTGGTGTCCCTGGGCACACGGTTATCCTGGAGGCCCATTTAGCCACTCCAGGGCCCTGGAGAGCCCCATGCTTTGCTTCTCCCCTGCACCCCCGAGTCTCTGGCAGGCATGGCTCTCCAGACACTGCCTCTCCTGAGCCCCGCTGGTTGGAGGAGGCTGCGGTGGTAGCTACAGTGGTGGTAATTTCTGTCTCCCTGTTTGGTTGCTGCATGTCCACCTTCCCTGCTGGTGCCCGTGGTGCAGGAGTTGGAGGTTAGCAGATTGCTTTTCTCTTCCTCTTTCCCCCTCTGTCCTCCTCGTCATGTCTCACACCCCTCCTTATCTCCCAGCCTGGTCCCTGTGCACCCCAGCTCTCCTGTCTGCACCTCATCTCTTGGCCTCGCCTCACTCTGCTGCTCCCAAAGCCGGGCAGGCTCACGTGCAGGCCGCCGACATCCTGACACTTTGCAACCAGGTGGCCCTGATTGGGGCACTGACATCCCCACTTCCGCATGTTCACAGTATGCACAGAGCCCTTCCAAGGATGCCCAGAGGACCCTTGGGCTACTGCTGCTAACTCTTGGAGCTCCATTGCCCCTTCCTAATTACACCCTTCGGAACCACTGCTTTTGAGCGAATGGGGTAGGCAGCGGCTCTCTTGCCTGTGATCTCAAGCTCAGGCCTCAGAGCAGAGGCGAAGTCTCTCATGTGCCTACTTTCTAGGCAGGAAACCAGGAATAGCCCCAGTGCCCCTCGCTGACCTCTTCCCAGCCCTCCATGCCCCCTCAGGATTTCCTGTCAGGCTTTAGTCCTGAGGACCCCAGACTTCCAGGGGCTGTGGGGGCCAGGCAGCTTTGCAGGGTGGGGGCCAGGTCCTCCCTGGCAGCCTGTGGCTCGTGACTCACACTGCTTGCCAGTAGGGCTCTGGTGGCTGGGCTGACAGCAGGTGTGTGGGCTGCAAGTATATTTGGCCCACACCCGGCTGGCTGCGACAGCCGCCCCCTCTGCTTTACCTCACATCTGCCCCAGCCACAGCTGCACCAGACCGTGTGTGCACACCATGCTTTTCCATCTGGTTCCCGCTGTCTTCCCTCCCCTCCCCACCCTTCCCAGAGAGGAGCCCCAGGGATGAGCGTTCTTCTTCCCATCCCCTCTCTCCCTTGCAGCTGTCCCTGAAGTGTCGTGCACCAGAGGTGTCCCAGCACGTGTACCAGGCCTACGAGACCATCCTCAAGAACTGAGGCCCTGTCCAGCGCCCACCCCAGCCTTCTGCCAGCCCCAATAAGGAGCCCCCTGGGGGTGGCAGCACCCTCTCCTCTCGAGAAGGACTGAGCAGGGCTCCTGGCTGCCAGGGGGCTCCTGGTCCTGATGGTAGCCCCCATGTGGGTGCTCAGGGCAGGGCAGCACCCCCTTCTGGGGGGAGAGCTCAGTGCACTCCTGTGCTCCAGGAAGCCCCTCTTCCATTGCTGCGGACTTGTGGGGTCAGGTGAGGAGGGGACCAAAGGAAACAGTCAAAGCAGTCAGGGAGACCCCAGGGTTTTCCACTTCTTTTCTCTGTGCCTGAAGAGGAGTGTGGAGCTTGCTCCTCAGAATTCCAGCTCGCAGACCCCAGCCCCTCCATCTGTCTTGGACTGGTATCAGAGGCTTCCCCACTGCCACCCCGTGTGGGATGGGCCCTGCCAGTGGGGAGGGTCCTTTTGGTACCAGGAGGGTTGCTGTTAGGGTCTGGGGCTCAGGGGCTACAGGTGCCCACAGAGGAGCCCAGGGCCTGCACCACCCACCCGGATCATCCACCAGGCTGGTGCCCTGCAGCCATGCCAGTAAGGCTGCAGCCCCTCGAGCACTGACTCGCATGACTGAGGCCAGGCAGAAGCCCCCAGAACTCTGTCCCAGGCTCCTGCTTCCCTGGCAGCTGCATCACCTTGCTTCTGCCCCTGAGGAAGGTCGCTGCTTTAGGGGGCTGTGGGCAAGTGGGTGTGCTTCCTGATAGGCTGATAGGGTTTTGGTGGGGTTTCTCCATAGTGTGTGCTGCCCTCTTCCTGGCCTCCCAAGTTTCCATTGTGTCTGATAGAGCATTAGGTTTTCCTGTTACTGCGTTGAATAATAAAGAAGGATTCTGCTTTGGCAATCATGGACATTTTTTTCCCCTCCACAAAGGTCAGAATTGAAAGCTGTCCCCAAGTGCTTGGGGATGGTACCCTGACCCCTGCAGTAACTATATCTAATATATATAAATAGAAAATGTATATTGTATGTTCCTCTTATTTTCAGAAAGAGAAACTGAATAAAAATGATGACATCAAGTGTGTCCCTGGCCAGTGTGTCAGGTCCTGAGGCTATTTGGAGCGGGAGTCCTGGGCTGCAGGGATCCCGGGGTCAAGGGCTCAAGCTGTGGTCCCTCCCCTGGTACTCTGAAGACAGCGCCTTCCCTCCACCCTGTCCTTGACAAGTGACTTCTGAGGCCTGCTGGTGTCCCTGGTACCTCTCCTGCCATTGATCCTACCTACCTGTCCTTCCTTTTGACGCTGGCCAGAGGGCTGGCATTACCGTCTTAGTTTTTCCCAGCTCCTTGCCATCTGGGAGGCTCCCACAGCAGCGTGAGATCCTCTCATCAGAGGAGAGTCCTGGGAGAGGAGGTGGAGTGGAGCAGGCCAGCCACCACTGAGGACTCCCCATGGCCTCAATCTCGAAGTTGGCCTGCCTCTCCTGCCTCCCAGGAGAGGGCTACCAGACCCTGGTTAGGGCTTTGCTGGCAGAGCTACTTCCTGGCTAGCGGATCCTCAGTCTGCTTCTGAGGGAGGAGCAGTCCAGGGGCCCCTCACCCCATTCCAGCCCCGCTGCTCCATGTTCTGTCTGCACTTAGCCTCCACACCCCCCTGCCTCCAACACACCATTGCCTTCTGCCTCTCTGGGGGCCACAGAGCCTAGAGCCAGGCCCTTGATTGTATAGCCCTATCATACCTCACCTGAAAGTCTCCAGGCCCAGACACAACTGGAGTCGCACCCGGTCCTGCCATGAACTAGAGGAGCAGGGTGGTGAGCCCCTGATGAAAGAAACAGTCACCCTGGCCGGTCATGTCGCCTGCCTCCCCCACCTAAATGCCCTGGGTGCAATGCCTGGGGAGAGTTGCAGGGGTCGCCGCCCCACGCCCACCTGCTCAGTCGTCCAGGGGCCTAGCACTCCATGGCCCTACCCCTCCACCGAGCAGCCAGGAGAGTGCCAGTGTAGGTTGGCCGTCCCCACAGAAGTGATGGCAGTCAACTGGAGGCCCAGAACAAGCCACCCAGGGTGAGGAGAGCTGACAGGAAAGACAGGCTGGCCTGTTTGGACAGAGGACCTTGGACTGTCCCTGGTTGTCTCTGTGGGTTGGTCCTGATTCAGTCTGCTCACACCTCAGGTGATTGTGAGCAGGACCATACTGTGATGACGCCCCTCTTTCACCCACATGGCACCGAGCATGATGGGACTCGGCATGCACTGCAAAGGTAGGGAAACTGAGGCAGAGAGGGCCTTCACACTCCCAATTCCCCCACATCACTCCATCAGGACAAGAATGCAGGGCTGCCCTCTGGGGCCAGGACTTAGGAAGTGCTTTAGGGGATATCTGATCTGTGCCCCACCCTGCTCTTCAGCCTTCCTGTCCCTGTCCCACCTCAGTGAGGACCCGTCACTGCCTTTTGTAAACAGCCGCGTGGCAGTTCACTCAGTGGAGGAAGTATCATAAGCCAGTCCCCAGCGATGAAAGTGAGTTGTTCTCCAGTGTTGCTAGTACGAGTGCTACTGCAAGAATACCCTGGTTATGCCTCCCCCTCACAAGTTGCTCCCTGGTTCTGATGTGTTCAGACTGCCCCACCTCTCGGAGGCCTTGGCATCCTGCCGCCTGGGAACTGCCCTGGCTCTTCTTGAGAAGATTCTCCAATGTCTTGAACCAGCCAGTTGGGAAATTCAACAGCAGCAACCAGTTGTTTCTGGAGGGTCCAACCAGTATCTGTGGGCTGATGGGTTTTCCCTGTGTGCCAGACACTGCCAAGGCCTGTGGCGTGACATTAGTTTACTTTTTTTTTTTTTAGAGTCAGAGTCTTGTTCTGTCACCCAGGCTGGGATACAGTGGTGCGATCATAGCTCACTGCAGCCTTGAGTTCCTGGGCTCAAGCGATTTTTCCACCTCAGCCTCCTGAGTAGCATGGACTACGGGTGCACGCCACCATACCTAGCTAATTTTTAAATTTTCTGTAGAGATGAGGTCTTTCTATTTTGCCCAGGCTGGTCTCCACCTCCTGGCCTCAAGTGATCCTCTTGCCTCAGCCTTCCAAGCTGCTGGAACTACCAGTGTGAACCACAGCAGCTGTCCTCATTTTACATTTTAAAATCTTCAATTATTGTGTGTGATTCAGGACCGTGGTGAGGTCGGCTATACAGAGGATAAAGTTCTTCCTCACCCCTTTCTTCTTCAAGCCCTTAGTTTTCCTCCCTAGAGAAGATACTGTGAAATTTTGGGTTCCATCTAGGGATATTCTACACCAATGTATAAGCAAATCCATATTGCTCTTTACCTAACGAATGATGGCACACCTAAACACTGCAAGCACGTTGCTTCTCTGACCTGACAGTAACTTCTGGAGTTTTTTCTCTGTCAGTGCAAGTAGACCCCTCAGGATTCCTGGTGCAGATGGACCACCATCAGCCCATCCCTGCTGGCCAACGTTCAGGCTGTTTGTCTTTGTGAAGGCAAGCAGTGCTGCAGTGAATCCCCCACACACTCCCTTGTGAGACAGGAGATTGCTAGAAAAAGGCTAGGCAAACAGACAGGAGGGTCCTCTGGTAACAATGTAGCAAAGACCTCGCAGGCCTCTCAGGCTCAGCATTGGTAAACAAGCTCCCTGTGAACCTCTCAAACTGGAGCTTAAGTAGTCACTGCTGGGATCGAAAAGCAACCAATCAGCTCACCATTAGGGTGCTACATTAATACTTGCCAATCAGAACAGCTACAGCTCACAGCTAGTGCTAGCCAATCAGCTTGGACCTAGGGCTCTCTAAGCACCAGGTTTTCAGCCCCAGATGGGCAACCCCTTCGGGTTCCCTCCCACTTGGGAACTTTTCTGTCCACAATAAAGCCTGCTTTCTCACTTTCTGGCTGTTCATGTCCCTCTTTCTTCCTGGGCATGAGTCAAGAACCTGGATCCTGAAGAGCTGCGACCTGAAGAGTTGCAGAAGATCGTCAGAGCGGAAAAGCGATGCACCCCAGCAGCCAGAGTCGGCTAAACCAGGAGAGCTGCTGGAAGAAGGCAAGACTCCGAAGCTGCAATACATGGGGGCTGGGCTTGCCAGCCCACCAAACCAGCAACACTCTCAGGGCTTGGCTTGCTGGCCCATTAGAGCCGATACTTCCGGGGCTAGGCTTACCAGCCTTTGATGACCCTCTCTGGGGCTTGCCTGGCCGACCCATTGAGCTGACACTCTTGAAGCCCAGGCTGAACTAAAAAATCCGCATCACTAGCACCAGGGTAGCTGTAGAACCTAGCCCAGAATTGCTGGATCAGAAGGTGTAAAGAGGATCCCTTTACATTTTAGTCGTTGTTTTGGAAAACTAATGCATTCACGTGGTTCAAAACCCAAAAGGCAAGAAGGATAGAAGTGAAAAATCTTCCACCTCTTCCCCGCATTCCTGTTTCCAAAGGAAACCAATGTAACCATCCAAAAAGACCCAGTAGTGCCTGATGAGCTGTTTTCCCCTTCTTACGCATAAATGGTATTAACAGCATGAAATGGCTGGGCTTAGTGGTGCAACCTGTAATCCTAGCACTTTGGGAGGCCGAGGCGATTGGATTACCTGAGCCCGCGGGTTCGAGACCCACCCAGGCAACTTAGTGAGACCGCATCTCTACAATAAATAAAAGAATGAGCCGGATGTGGTAGCATGCGCCTGTGGTTTCAGCTACTTGGAAGGCTGGTCGACGCTGGGGTACCCGTGAGTGTGCTACTGCACTCCAGCCTGGCGACAGAGTGAGATTCCAACTTGGGGAAAAAAATAACATGGAATACTCGCTGTGCTTATAGTGCATTTTTCCCATCATTAGCCATTTAGAGAGTGTCCTCATGCCTTTTTGGGGGGGTTGGGGGTCTTACTCTGTCACCCAGGCTGGAGTGCAGGGGCAGAATCACAGCTCACCACAGCTTTGACCTCTTGGGCTCAGGCGATCCTTCCACCTCCCGAGTAGCTGTGACTGCAGGTGTGCACCACCATGCCCAGCCAATTTTTTTTTTTTTGAGTTGGAGTCTCCCTCTGTCACCCAGACTGGAGTGCAGTGGCTGCTCCTGTCTGCAACCTCGACTTGCTGGGCTCCAGCGAGCCTTCCGCCTCAGCCTTCCAAGCAGCTGGAACTACAGGTGTGCACTACCACGCCCGGCTAATTTTTTGATTTATTGTGAGATGTGGTCTCGCCAAGTTGCCCAGGTGGGTCTCGAACCCGCGGGCTCAGGCAATCCACTCACCTCAGCCTCCCAAGGCGCCGGATTACAGGCTGAGCCACCAAGCCCGGCTTACTAATTTTTTTATTTGTAGAGATGGGGCCTTGCTATATTGCCCAGGCTGGTCCCCGCCTCAGTCTCCCAAAGTGCTGGGATTACAGGTATGAGCCACTGTGTCCAGTCTTTGTGCCTTTTTTTTTTTTTTATTAACACCTGTGTGATATTCCACTTTTTTTTTTTTTCCCAGTCAAGGTCTCACTGTCACCCAGGCTGGAGTGCAGTGGCATTATCACGACGATCACAGCTCATGGCAACCTCAACCTCCTGGGCTCAAGCAAGCCCTCCACGTCAGCGTGCCGAGTGGCTGGCATCCCGAGTAGCTGAGCCTACAGGTGTGCACCATCACGCCTGGTTAATTTTTAAAATTTTTTTGTAGAGATGAAGTTTTGTTATTTTGCCCAAGCCGGTCTCAAACTCCTGGGTTCAAGCGATCCTCCCACTTTGGCCTTCCAAAGTGCTAGGATTAAAGACATGAGCCACCATGCCCAGCCCAGTATTCCATTTAATGGAGGAAGCATCACGAACAAGTCCCCTACAGTGATGAACGTGGAGTTATTTCCCAGGGGTGGCTAGTACAAGTGATACTGCAAGAATATCCA